TGAGATGGCTGAGGGTATACAGGAGGCACTCATGATATTTTAAAAGAGCTCTTGGTGTGACAATATGCTGAGGCATTTGGATCCTTTTGAGGCAATACTAAAAAGTTCTCCAGTTGAATTCTTGGCTTCCTTTTTAGAGCACTCTTTATATCAGTGAATCTCTTAATTTTAGCATCTTTTGCAATCTGCATCAGCTAAGAATTTCCCAAAACATTGTGTTGGTTTTATTTTGCTTACCAGTTCTTTGCTCAATTTATCTCTTTCCTTTTGCATTTGACTATAAATAGGAAATAGAAACCAGGTCACTTTTTTAGCATTCTGCTGGGAGATCCCTTCAGCTAACTATGCAAGTTCATCTCTTACAAGTTCTGCTTTCCATGCAACTGTGGGAAAAAAATTCTACTAAGCTTTCTATCACTCTCTAGGAAGGATCTCTCCTTTCCTCCGGTCTCCTACAACATGATTCTTATGTCCTTTTGAGTTTCCAATAGCATTCATTACTTTTAATGTTCAAGTTTCTATCAGCAATCTGTTCATTATTGGGGATATTTTTTTAAAGATAATATAGGACCCTCCACACTACTTTCTGGACTCTCACCAGCAGAATTTTTAACATCTAAATCTCTTCTAATAGTCCATTCAAGGCAATCTCATACTTTTTTATACCATTCCCTGCAAAATTATCCCATTTTTTCTCATTATCCATTCTAACATTTTTGATACTTGTTGTAGCAGTACCCCATTCTAGGTATGAAAATCCATATTTGTTTCCTATTATTTCTATAATAAATTATCACAAACTGTTTGGCTTAAGACAAAACAAACCAATCTGGAAGTCAGGAGTGAGGTCAGTTTCAATGAGTTAAAAATCAAGGAGTCAGCAGGGCCATATTCCTTCTTGAGTCTGGGAGAGAATTCATTCTTTTTTCTCTTTTCCAAATTTTATACACTGCAAACATGCAAGCATTCCTTGGTTCATGTCCCACAACCCATACTCTTTTTTTTTTTGACATCCACATTTTATTACTTACAGGTCCTGGGGTGGGGGCAGGGGGGATTTACTGCAAGTTCAGAGGCCACACAGAAGTCAGGGAATGCATAACAGGAGAGAAATGGACAGAACCCATGAGCTAATGCCTTCACTGGGACCATAGTGTTGTACAAACAGGTTTTCCACAGGGAGTTTTAACTGATGGCTTGAATACAAGCAGGCATGAGTTTAAAAAGGTCACAATTGAATGCCCCATATCACTTTGAACTCTGCTTCTGTTATCATATCTTCTTGCTCTGACCCAGCATCTCTCTCCTATAACATTGAGTATATATACATGACATTATTTTTTTAAAAAAACTATAAATAACTTGCATAAAGATTAATAAAATAAAGGGAGGGGAACAGTTGGGGGGGAGAGTTGGGGGTTGAGAGAAGTGCTGGGAACTAAATTAGAGAAAACTATATTTCATGCTTTTGTGATTATGTCAGAATGTATCCTGATGCTATATAGAACTAAAAAGAATCCATAAAAATTTAATAAAGAACACTTATTATCTCATTGGACTCACCTACATAATCCAGAATTATGTCCACATCTCTGTATTCTTAACCACATTTGCAAAGTCTTTATTGACATTAAAGTGTTTTCTCTAATATGCAGAGGCTACTTCATAATAAGGGGGTGGCTAGGGAAAAATAGAGGTATTTTGGATTAGGTAGAGGGGAGTGGAGGGAGGGAATAGGAAGGATAATAGAATGAATTGGACACTATTACCCTATGTACATATATGATTACTCGACCCATGTTCTACATCATGTACAATCAGAAATTCCGAATGGGTTTTACTCCATTTATGAATAATGTGTCAAAAGCGTTCTACTATCATGTATAACTAATTAGAACAAATGAAAAAAGTAATGCATTCACAGATTTCCAGGATTAATACAGGGACAACTTTGTGGGGGGACATTATATCCACTTGCCCCAAATTCTTTTATCAAAAATCATATTTTACCTGCTATAATATTTCTATATTTACTTGATTTAACTAATCTTCTTATATAAATACCTTTATTCATTTATTCTTGTCTTCCCTGTATCATTTTGTCCCAAGTATGTCCTTCACATATTGGTCTTTTAAAATTATTTTTTTAGAAAATTAATTTGAAATTTCTTTCTCTGAATAGATAAACTTAGTAAATTTCCCCAGATTTATTAATTTTTAAAAGTCACTGTATGGAGACGCCCTTAGCTCTTTAGACAGGTTTCTCTATTATCATCTTGATTCTCCTGGGCAGTTTTTCTTTTCTTATGGGGTTCAGGGAAATGTTCAAGGAAGAGAAAATTATAATCTGTAAATTTTTTATCCATCTTTTCAAAGAGGATTTCCATGTTTGATGGTTACCTGGAAATATGGCTCATCTTTCAGACATCTGACTGGGTTTTTAGTTGGGTATTAGATCTGTCTTCCTGAGTTGAGTTTTGAAGTCTTAGATTTAAAATCCACAAGGATTGTAAAAAACATGCATCTACTGGAACAAGGAGTAAAAGGCTTAAATAAGACAAATCCCAAATAGCAGAGTCACATAACAGGCCATGTGAACTGATGTGAACATAACCAAAAGGTAATGTCTTATTGCAGCACTGACTGTGGCCAGCTGGAGCAGCCCTGGACAAGTTGATTTCTTGCCTTCAGAAGTTTTTCTTCTCTGGACATAGCAGAAGACACATCTGTAGGACTTCTGCAGCCAAGATTGATCCCCCATGCTGCTCTGACAGGCTGGACTCTCCTTCTTACCTCCATCATGAGTCTCTGAATTGAGTGACATGGTACAAAAACTCTATGTCCCTTTATGTTATTATTGTACCCAATTCCATCTTCATACATTATGTGTTCATCAAAACATCTGTGCTTATTAATTATACCGTTTCTTTCTAAATAAAATAGGAGAAAAGCTTACAAACAAAATCACACACTTATGCTTCCTTTTGCATTTATTTTTGTAAATTCGTGAGTATTGACTGGCTAATTTTATTTCCCCTGAGTCAGAATAATGGGTGTGATAATTCTAAGCATGATAGATGTTTTCTTGAACTTCATCAATATATTTGCTTTTGTCCCGTAGCAGTTAGGTAAATAATTAACTCACTGATAAGCAGTGAAGGTGCCATTTGGAAGGATGATGCACTGGCTGATGCTACAAATAGGTTGAGTATTGATCGGGTACTGGGTTGAGTATTGGGTACTGGCAGGTGTACTCAGGTGATGCATTCTCACCGGAAAGTGAGTTGACCCTGTAGGGGAGGAGAAAGTCGAGTCATCAGGCAATTTTATGGCAGTGTTTTAAGTGCAATACTGACAGGTCTGTACAGTGTAGCATGGGGACCTCCCAGAGCCAGCCTTGAGCAATCAGGGAGACTTCCAGGGGAGGTCCAAGAAGGAAGGCTGGAAGAGAGAGGAAGTTGGATAGACAAAAAAAGCAGATTTTTCATTTAAATTTAAGATCACTTTGGCCACAGTGTGGAAACTAGTATGCAAAGAGTCCAGCACAGAAGAGGTAAAAGCCAGGTAGGAGGCTGTTAGCACACTGTCCCTGAGAAATGACGGGGAGAAGTAGGGCGGTGGTGGAGATACAAGTGGACTCTTGAGACACATAAGAACGTCAAGTAACTGGAGAGGTCAATTATCTGGAAGTGACAGTGGAGGTGGCTGGAAACCAACACCAGTCAGATGCCTGTCTTGGGCCAGGCAAGAGGAGCAGCCTCTTGAGAGAACTCAGGAGAGGAGAAGGTTGAGAGGCTGAGAGCAGCGGTGAGGCTGCAGAAGAGGGTTGGAGTTTGAGAAGACCACAACTGAACTGCTGTGGGCAACCACGTACCGCTAACCAGGAAGGCACACTCCTTCAGTTTCTCTGTGCCAGACACCGCTGCTGGGCACTGGGAACACTAATGGTGCAATAAGATAAGTATGCCTCTTCCCCTGGTGGAAAGGAGGAAAGCATCTACCATGTAATGTGATAAAGGACAGTAAAATAAAATGATCGCATTAAATTCCAGGAACTTGGGGTGCTCATGAGCAGGGCTCTGAAACAAACCGAGTTTTAGGGAAGAATTTCCACAGTAAGCAATGTCTAAATTTCAATTCAGGTGACGTGCAGGTACAAAGCAGGTGTGTCATGGTATAGACCTGGGGAGGTAGCAGGGTGACCATGGGGGAGTCAGAGGATGCATCCTTTCAGAAAGGGAAAACAATGAAATAAATGCAAAGGGCTGGAGACACAAAAGATCAAAGGGACTTTTATAAATGAGCGAAGAGTTCCTATTACTGGAAGTAATACTGACTACAACGGGCAAGAAACAGGAGATGCCATTACAAACGTAATTAGGTGGCAGGAGAGACATGGAGAGTCTTGTAAACCAAATTTGAAGAATGTGAACTTCATCTTGAAGAGAGCAACCAACGATCCTCATTTTCCCGGGACTGAGTTTCCCTGAATGTAGGATTTTCAAAGTCGAATTGGAACATCCGAGGTAAATGGGGACAACCCGTTGCCCTAGAGAGCCATGATGATTTTAGGTTGGGAAGACCAGCATGGCTGAGGACTGGAGGAAGAAGCACACCAATGCGATGATGAAGACAAGATACGGTGTGGTCACGCTCGGCGAGGGGGTTTAATAGAAATAGAGAAAACTGGAAGAATTAAATTTTAAGAGATATTACAATTTAACAGATATCCAACTATTTAATGAATGATAGATTTGAAAGGGGAAAAAGGCAAATGAGTGGATATTGGTGCCATATCCTCATTCTGAAGATAAAGAAAATAGCTTGGGAGGCTGAGATAGGAGAATCACAAGTTCCAAGCCAGCCTGAGCAATTTAGCAAGGCCCTAAGCAACCCAGCAAGACTCTGTTTTTAAGTAAAATATTTTAAAAGGGAGCATAAAAGATAGAGGAAATAGTGCACTAATCTTGTTTGATAAGATGAAAACTTTGCTTTTGGACATGTTATTTATAGGGTTTCCAGAAAAAATATAGGACATCCAGTTAAATTTAAATTTCGAACAATGAATAATTTTCACTGTAGCTATGTTCCAAATAGGACTATTTTTGCAGTGTGCATACTTGTACTAAGATTATTCTTTGTTTATCTGTAATTCAATTTTAAATGGACATTCTGTATTTTTAGTTGATATAGCTGCTTACCTTATGAGTTTAGAATATGTGGAGACATCCAAATGGTACTTTGGACATTTTTAAGCACTTCAAATATGAGTTTGAAACTCAGGAGAAATATCTGGCCCAGAGGATGGGGCAGGATAATCACAGCAATTTTTTTTTTTTTTGAATTTTACTACAGAATTCCACAAAGCATGGCTATTCACTTTCAAAGTATCTGTGGCCTAGGAATTAATGTATCTCATGACATACAGTTTTAAATATTAGTGTCAGTTGAAGGGCCCCCTTTGTTCCCTCACAGCATAGAGACTCATTCTCCAGCTACCTCCTCACGGCCAACCAACTTGACCAAAGGATAGTCTGCACCATCTAGAAGCAAGACTCCACATCCTGTCCTTCTGCCAAATGAATTTCCAAAATCCTAAGACTAAGTCAGAAGAGCATATTGATTGATTTTAGAAAAGTTTTTCATAATGATCCCTGAAACAACTTCAAGTTTAAGTGCACTATATTTCCTGGCTACCTTAGATAACAGAATTTACCAGAGATAAGTAAATATTTTAGAGTGGCAGGTATTTTAAACTCCAAATAAATGGACACATCTGTAGGCAACAAAACAGACATCCTATCACTTGATCATGGAGGCATTCAAATAAGTGAAGATTTCATCCTAACTTTATTAAAAGCAACTGTGTCAATTTTTCAGAGACCTGCCAGTGTTTTAGATCTATGTTCAAGAAGTGGTAGGATACTTGGGGTTTGTAGAGGGGGGAATGTGTAGAAATTCCACGGCCCCATTTCTCTGATTTCCCAGAGGCGCTAGCACGTTCCTGCTGCCTCCAGGGTGAGCGCAGGTCCAGGGCCTTGTCAGGTTCGCTTCACCTTCACAGAGTGCAGCAGCAGGGATGCTCTGTGCCTCTAGGGGGTCTCGTTCCTACTGCTCTTGGTCCCTTCAGGCTCTGCCAATCCTGCCCCAGCAATTGCTAGAACTTCCTAGACGAGGCCTGGCTCACACTGGTAAGCAAGTTCACTTCCACCCTGTGGCCACAGCTTTCTCTTTGCTAGCCTTCATGGTCTGGTTGAGACCCACCGGCATGTGGAATGAGAAGGGATCTATGCTGACCTTGGAGCTCTTTTTCTTACCTTCCTCTAAGTGCTGCTGCCTCTGGGGTAACAGAGAGGCACTGAGTGGTCCAAAATCCACTGTGTGTTTCTTGTAGAAGTAAGGAGACAGGTGATTCCCCCAGCAATGACTTTTCATATTCATACACATCAAGCAATGTGTATACCCCATGTCTACAGAGTTCCTAGTAAAATCCTCTCTTGTCCTCCAGTATCTTTGCACTTCAGCCCACACTAAACCTAATACAGTACTGAGGCAATGGTACCAGCTAGCAAAGGGAAGCCCTTTCAGCCAATGATGATTTCCAGAGTATGAAATTCTAGTAAGGTCAAAACCACACAGACCAATAAGACGAGGCCTAATTCCTGAGTGGCTTTATTTTTACAGTGATGCAGTGTGTATCGTTACTGCTGAATGGATGTTATTTACTCTGAGATTTTTAACCAAAATGGGTGAGCAGGTCAGGTCAGGGGGCCCCCTCGAGGACACCGTATTTCTGAGATTTTATTTTATTTTATTTTTTTGAAATTGAAAAACACTAGTTCCCCAGTTGTTGTGATATTATGGAGAACAAGTTTCAAACTAGCTACACAGAAGCACAAAACAAACCAATGAACAACCAACGTATTTCACACTCCGCCAAGATGGTGTAGCCTGGTTATCAGACAAGCAGACTGTATGGTAAGGATCTAGGTTATAATGTCACCGGTGTCACTTCGCAGTCATAATCCTGGGAAAGCAATAGAGTTTCTCTGTGTTTCAGTTTTCTTACTGGAAATAGATAGTAGTACCTACTTAGGGGGTTCTCATGAGGATTCAATGAGCTAAAATAGAACAGTACTTAGCACGGTGTCTGGCTCAGAGTAAGCACTTTATGGGTGTTGTTACTTATATTTAATTGTTACTTTCATTATTTTATTATATACACATATTATATATATGATATATATATCATATTAATTATATATAATATGTATATGTATATAGTATGTATATATCTTAGTTGTACAAAGTATATATTTATCTTAGTTGTAGGTGAACACAATACCTTTATTTAATTTTTATGTGGCTGAGGATAGAACCCAGTGCCCCACATGTGCCAAGCAAGTGCTCTACCACTGAGCCACAGCCCCAGTGCCTCATTATTTTATTATTATACTGTATTTAAGTATTATTTTGTTTTGATAGTGTTATGAAATGTTTCATATTAATCCTGAAGGATGATCTGGAGAAAGAGAGGGAGAAAAACAAACAAACAAACAAAAAAACCTTAAAAAAATACCAGATATTTCATCACTGTCAGCTCCATAGCAAAACAAATCTGCCTGGCAACCCTCAAGTTCTACAAACCTCCTTTCTGAATTTAAAAATAGAAAAGATTGCTTTCTTTAAAGCATTATAAATTGTCCTACTTCTACTAGCAATTGAATATATTAGGAAAACCAAAGGAAGAAAATAGAAAGCCTTTTTTTTTTCCTCCATGAAGATAGAGTCCTTTTAGGATTCCAAATGAATGATTTTGTTTTACAATTTTAAAATAGCTGTATATTTTCTCCACACTGTGTTCAGCCAGAGGAATGAGAAATTATACTCCATCTATGTATGAGTATCACAGTGCATTCTACAGTCATGTATAGCTAATTGGAACAAATAAAAAAAATAGCTCT